GTCATTGCCCCTGAAGGAAGAAGAGAACGGCGACGTCAACGATCCGGACTTCACAATGCCTTCATATCAACATACAGCCAGACAAATGTCTGGCGCCTCATTCCGAGATGGGAGCTTTCGAAGCCGCACCCCTACGCCCATGGACCGCGATAGTTCGTACGACAGCCGCCAGGGGACACCATTCGAACAGAATGGAGATATGTATCTGAATGGCGACATGAACCGATCGTCGTGGCAAGTGTCAAATCCCGGGCGGCCACAGCCTGGCATGATCTCTTCCCCCGAACAAACACACTATTATCAACCTTCCATCCACCAAAGCATGCTAGGGCCTAATATCGAAGATGTGACCTTCAAAAAGATGGGAGTTCCAGGCATGCAATACGACGGACCAGGAGCCTTGGCCGGCCTCCCAGGCAATGCACATCCTGACTTGCTCCAACAGCAGCCGCTCCCACAATCAAGGACTCCAGTCTCGCTCAACGACTTACAAGTCGATCCGCAGCTTCTGGAATTCGATGGCCAACCTAGCCTCCCATCCAACAACGGGGCCAACTATGAGGGTCCAATAGATATCTGGCAAATGCCCAATGGAGAGCAACAGTTTCTCCGGTCTGGCCTCCCCACTCAAGAAGACGAACGATATCATTCACAATCTAGTTTCCATCATGCTGTGCAACAACCCATGGATGGACGGGAGATATGGAACGAAAGCCAAATTGATGCTGGAGGACAATTTGAAGATTGGATTAGTACTGGTACTCCATTTGAGTACGGTAATGCTCCGCAGAAGCATCTCTAAAAAAGGTTTCTCTGTTGCCCCTTTCTCTCTTCAGGTGATTCTTTGAGGGGTGGTCATTGTAGATGCGGGTCATGTTAATAGATCATACGCTTTCCATCATCACCATTCCACTTTCCATTCTACCCATGTACTTGTTGATTGCATTTTCCCCTTCTACCCATTCATTTTAATATTTCATCACTCCTTGAGGCGCCAACATGGGTCTGGCATCTCTTCAAGTTCTTGAACTTATATGCGGAACTTTGTTTTGGCGTTGAAGAGGTCAAGGTCGGCTATTCGGTCCCTTCAACAGTTCTCTCATGTCTTTGGTCGGTGGGAAAGGTCTATGCATGTCTTCGTCCTCTCTGCATCTTGTTTTTCATTTTTTTTTTCATTTTTTTCATTTTTTTTTTTTTCAACGCATGTTATGTTCACTGGTTGGGGGGTGGGGGGGTTGACTGTTTGATATTCTCTTTATTCATCTCTCACCGTGTTTTATTTTCTCTCCTATCCCGGCTTTATTACTGCGAAGTCCATTTTCTTAATTACAGGCGGTTGGGCGAGCAACAAATTTGGACAAGCCATTGGGATTTCAATACCATGCCTGGAACGCATGTAGTGTACTGTAGCTTACCATTAGTGTTAATGTGATTAGTCGTCGAATGTTACAATTCCAATGTTTAAATCTAGTAAAGCTTTGCGCTCTCTTCAAGAGCAATGCAGTTGATAGATGGTAGTAGTACCCCTTGGCTTGACGGGTGGGACGTGGGGAATAACATTGTGAACGGAATCCCCTTTCTGCGACTATATCTCATCTGTTAGCGCATTGTAGTAGGAATAGTATATGTCCTAAGAATAGCACACACATACTGGAATGCAGGGTTAATTCTCCTTCCACTATGCAGAAAGTTGGGGGAAGGGCGTTCGCCTGCAGTGGGGCTCGGAACCAGGCATTCAGATAAAGAGAGAGGCGTTTGAAAGCTGCAACAAGCTATAAAGCCGTGTTGCAGAAAGGAAGTCAAAATAGAAACATAGAACAAAAGAATGGCAAAGAAGAAAAATGCTCATGAATGTTGAATAATGATAATAGAAATGAATAAAGAACACCGACTGTCTGGAAACGCATAAAAGAAGCTTCCATTGTGTGTCGAGACTCCTGGTTTGGCTGCATGGTCTTGGCATCAGAACCTTCCGTCCACTGCAGATCAACCACCGCGTCACCCCCGAGTGGACGAGACACCGCGCCCCTCAAAGCATCCAGGCTCACAAACACAGACTGGCCATTAGGACTAGAGATATCCCGGCAGCCTGTGGACAGGTAATATTATTCAGTACAGGAGAATAATCGAGGCACTCCCTGCAGAGAGTAGGTTGCATACAGCCCCTGCAGTTCAGGACCCCGAAACCATTATTGGGACCCCGACATACCCGATTGGACCCAATGTACGGAGAATCGGGAAACAAACTGGTAAGAAAGACGTTCTATCTGCAAGATTCTCGCAATTTCCACTATCTGCATAGTCCCAGAGAAAGCAGTCCCGCGCGCTGTAGGCTAATACTTCAACCGCACTCTGTGGTTCGCGCTCTCAGGTCCAACATGCCAAACGCATGCAATCCCTCTCCCACCTACCACCATACCAGACAGAAATGGTACGCTCGGTGGCACGCGAGGTCCGCGAATTGGATAAAGATGTAGCGCGTATCTTGGAGCCGTTCGAAGGCACTTTCAACCCGTCCGAGAACCACGCGACCGCCTGTGCCTTACTCGTCGACCATTTGTCGATGCGACGGAACAAAAGATGCCTGCTCGCCTACCACCGCGCGCGCGCAGAGAAACTAGAAGAGTTCTGCTGGCAGGGCCGTGATGTGCTAGACGAGCAGATGCAGCAGGGTGGCGGGGGTGCTCAGAGTGGTGGCAGCCAGGCAAATTCCCTGAGTCCCGAGGAGATGGAGTATTTTCGCCAGTATAGCGATATGCTAGCGGCGTACAAAGGACAATGGATTGATATTGACTTGACGGGTAGTCTGGAGCCGCCAAAGGACCTGTTCATTGATGTGCGCGTGCTTAAAGATGCGGGTGAGATCCAGACTGAGTATGGGTAAGCGCTGCATTCTCCCATACGGCGTTCTTATTACGGAGCACCGCAATCCTTCAAAGAATTTGAATTTCTATGCTAGACTCGCGCACTCATCTGTTTCTCATTGCTAACATCTGCCCTTCGATGGTAGTGCCATTACATTGACAAAAAATAGCCAGTTCTACGTCCGGTTAGGGGATGTTGAGCGGCTTATAGCGCAAGGATATCTTCAACGGCTGAGCTAGTATGCGAATCTATAAATGATTCACCCTCGAAGATACATAACCCAATTTTCTCCCATTACGCTATAGGCGGGTTCATTGGGCTATTTACGATCTTGTCCCCGAAGATAAATCGTACACTATGACCGTTGTTCGCTCGATCCTGGAATAAATAAAGACTTAGTTCCAAAGCCCTCATTTCGCGCTCAACTGCTTTGCGAAGCGGCATTCTGGCGCTTCCACCCACGTCCGTTCAAGCAACTCTTCTACTTTCTACCAGCTTCCACCTCTGTTCGAGGAAGAGAATATGAACACCCCATGGAGAGAATATTGCAAATCCATTACTGGCGCGGCTTTTAAACTGTTTGCCAACGTCTGAGCCATGGTGTTTCATGATGAAGAATTGCCTAAAATCAGCAGTGAACCTTTTACTCAAACACACCAACTAATATTTGGCTCAGCTCTCACTCGCAGGGAGCGTATGGTTACTTCAAAGGACGAGGGAGATTTCTGATCGATTGAATTGAATCACTTTGACCTTCATGTTCTCGTGCCACAAATGGGATATGTACAATCTACTGTGATATCAATTTATCCTCCTCAAGTCGCTAAGGTATGTACATACATGTTTGTCTTTGCAATGGCCGTGGGGATAGACCATCGTGCTCCAATCACGTCAAAGAATTCAATTAGTCTTTTGAAATGTATGTATGTATCTATTATTTTGTGATGGACAAAGACAACAGGAATTTTGAGGAAATAAAGAAAATAGGTAGCCTTACCTTCTTTGCTGTGTACTTCACCAGATTTCACTGCCCAGTTCATGCAAAAACCATGCTTGCTAAAAACTCTCTCTAGGCTCATGGAAGTCAAACAACTCCTTCCTGTGCTGTGCTTTACTCAAAGAGAGTGAGCCAGGAAATAGGAATATGAACTAGATGGTTGTGCTGAAGCTCTGACCACATGGACAATTAAGCTTTTGTGATTCACTTAAGCTCAAAAGTTTATTTCACATATCTCATCTCTCTGTATTAATTAGCATTCCGCTGGGAATCAATGTACAGTACCATCATTGTTTTGCTGATATGTTTGTCTGGAATTTTCACTTCTGATGTGATCTTCCCATTTGCAGGACAGGGTCTACTCATCGCTTTGACATTATATATGAGTATGTCATATATATAATGCAAAAGAACAGAGCCCATTAACACAAGTAATAAAAGAGTTAGCTATTCAAAGCCCACATATGTATTAATTAACATGGGTTAAATTTAAAGATTGTAATATACTAACTAGTATTATACACGCAAGTTAAAATGGCAATTTTCACGGGGCAACAAGAACAACTGAACTTTGGTCCCAATTGAGTAGATAATTAATACCCATTTACCACGTTAGGAAACCCAGGGATAAAAATATTCTTTAGCTGCTCAACATCCTATCATCCAAATTGGCATTCTAGAACATGAGAAGAGCAAAGGTAAATGGTATCCTACCCCTACAAACAGAAAAGAATTTTCAAATCCTGGCATTTAGGACCAAAAAAGTTTCGGGTTCACTTACGTATTTCAGATGTTTCAAATACCTAGAGCTACAGCCCCCTGTTGCAGAGAACTGTCAGTTTATCTAGTAGACCTCATCAAAATACAATCAACAACTTAACGTTGCAGAACAAAAATATATGACATTGACAAGAATGGATGCACCAATGGCAAAAGTCTTAGAATTTATCAGTCCTGCATCTGATATCTATCAGAAATTTCATAAAGTGTTGATATTTTTAATTTTTCCTTTTGAGAGTTTGGCTGGCGGGGTTCGGATTCCCGAAGGTTTAGGGAAATCTGAGTTTCATCTTTTCCACTTCAACAAACCCGTCTTCACTGATCAGTCCTCAGGACGATGTCCTGTCACTCGAAACCCTTAACCATCGCGAAATCTGTGTGGAAATTATTATGGCCGACCGTTAGGCCCCTCCATGCTCCTGCCGGCACATGCTATGTTCGCCATTGCTTCTAATCAACCCAAGCGGCTAGGTTCTTTCCGACGGCCTAGATGTGTTCAGAGAGCGGTTCAGCCCTTCCAGTAGCGATCAGGTCCTGTACATGTTCATCTACAGTACATATGATCCCTTGCCCAATCCTTTGAAACCGGCGAGACGATATGGCTCCCAACAGCGCGGGAATGCGACGGCGAGTTTCGCAGTCTTCGATCCAACCACATCAACGCGAGGTGCAAGACGATTTGGTGCGTACACAAACAGACGAAGGAAGAAGCGAGAATATCTCTGTCTCTACGAGTAATACCCATTCTGGATCCCAACCGTACCATGGGGAAGAGAATTGCTCTCTTCCTCCGATGTCGTTTTCCACATCTCAAAACGAGAGGACACCGCTCCGGTCGTTTTATCACCGATCCTTTAGGGGCTCTCTAGGTGAGCTTCACTCTCTCTCCACTGGCAATGGATTATCCCAAATATCGTACTAAGGTATATGATTTTTTTCGGATAGATGCCGGCCAATACTCATCTCGTGGCGTTCGTGAAAAAACGGCAGAATTGGCATCACTGGCGTTATTTAACAGGGAGCGAGATTGTACCGACTCTGTGTGGCTGGAGCCGCAAATTGGCGTGCCAAATAACTTCGGTGTATTTGTTGATGGCCAGCGTGATATCAGCAGGTCTCGCTGGACGCAGAGCCAACCGGGGCAGATCGAAGAACTCTCTGCAGCCGATTCTCGGACAGGAGCTTTTCATTCGCCTCCAAAAGTTAGCACTTCAGCCCTTACGACGATGATCCGCGATTTCGCACCAGATAGAAGTAATGATGGGCTAAGTGAAGAGCCCTTTCAGGAAGATTTTTCGCACCCAGACCCAGCTCTCACGCTGTCGCGCGGTTCGAACGTGCCAGATACAGAACGAACTGCACTTCTCAATCCGTCTCGAACCAAGAGTCGGGATTACCGCACCGCCCCAATTGATGTAGAAGGCCAAATTACTAGGTATAACCCTTTGGATAAATTGCGTGCTATATGCGCAAGGGGAGGTTCCCGGTGCTTCCATCGCTTGAACCCGCAGGCCTGGGACAGAACGGTAATTTGGCGGAAGGGAATAGTTTACCCCATCACCCTTCTTCCTGCCGTATTTCTCGGCCTCTTGCTCAATATCCTAGATGCACTTTCTTACGGAATGATTCTTTTCCCGCTGGGTGAGCCACTATTCGCTCACCTCGCCCCAGATGGCATCTCCATATTCTACGTCAGTACGATTGTTGCTCAGCTTGTATACTCATGTGGTGGTTCGGTTTTCAAAGGAGGTGTTGGTTCTGAAATGATTGAGGTTGTTCCATTTTTTCATAAAATCGCGTTTATGATCCTCAAGAAGGTTGGCAAGCAGAACGAGAAAGCAGTTCTCGCGACCACCATCCTATCCTATGCCATCAGCTCCGTGCTGACTGGATCTGTCTTCTTCCTGATGGGAGCTTTCAACCTGGGCTCGCTAATAGGGTTTTTTCCGCGCCACATCCTAATCGGATGCATTGGTGGAGTTGGGTGGTTTCTTGTCGCTACGGGGGTTATGGTATCCGCTCGTCTATCTGGCAATCTTGAATACAACTTAGAGACTCTAAAAAGGCTTTTCCAGCTTGATACTGTTTTCCTTTGGACACTTCCCCTTATCGGCGCTATTGGCTTGCTTGTGATAAAGCGATTCGTCAAGTCAAATTTTCTTGTTGGGGGTTATTTCATATCTATGGGTGCTGTCTTTTATATTTTCAAGTTCTGTTTAAATATACCGCTAGAGACTCTACGGAGCCGCGGTTGGGTCTTCGAGGCTCCATCTTCATCAGAACCGTGGTACCATTTCTATACATTATATGGTGAAGATATCATCTACCCTCCCGATGCCTATCTAGAACAAAAAGGCAGCTGACAATCACCTAGATTTTTCTTCTGTTCATTGGTCAGCACTCGCGGAAACCATTCCTGCTATGTTCGCATTGACGTTTTTCGGTGTGCTACATGTGCCCATCAACGTCCCCGCTCTGGGTATCTCGACCGGCGAAGACAATTTAAACGTTGATAGAGAACTTCTCGCACATGGTATTTCAAACGCAGTGTCGGGTTTTTTCGGTAGCATTCAGGTAAGCGAAGGTGAGAGATGTCCGGTGTATGGGGACCGTTATTTTGTTAACTCTACATAGAATTATCTCGTTTATACCAATAGTCTACTCTTCATCGGCAGTGGCGGTAACAGCCGTTTGGCAGGCGTGATGCTCGCTTTCGGCACATTTGGCATCATGCTTGTAGGGCCGGGTATAATTTCTTATATCCCAGTAGTGATTGTTGGCGCCCTTATCTACATTCTTGGGATAGAGCTAATGGAAGAGGCTCTGGTGGATACGTTAGGAAAACTACACACATTGGAGTATCTTACTGTAAGTTCCAGTATTCACTGCCAACCATTTGGTTATACTTGCATGGTATGTCCCTTCGCAACTATTTACTGAAATGCTGTGCAATAGGTGGTAATAATTGTTGTGACTATGGGAGCATGGGACTTTGTGATTGGAATAGTCATCGGCATAATCCTCGCCTGCGTAAATTTCGTCGTCCAAACGGCGCAGAAGTCCGCTATCACAGCAACATACTCAGGCCAGGTAGCCATTTCTACCGTCAGGCGACATCCCCTACATGTCAGATTCCTCAAGGATGCGGGTAAGCAGACATTTGTCATTAAGCTGGCCGGTTTTCTATTTTTTGGCACAATTGTGAGCGTCGAGAACACGGTGCGGGGGTTGATCGAGGAGAAGACATTCAAGGACCAGCCGATACGTTTTCTCATTCTTGACCTTAAACATGTGAACGGATTAGATTTCTCCGCCGCAGAGGCCTTCACGCGGTTAAACAGGATCCTCTGGAAACGGAGGGTGCAGATGATTATCAGCAGCATTGACGTGGAAGGGGAGATTGGGAAAAGTTTGCAGAATGTCGGTCTCTTTGAAAAGGAGAACGAGGTCGAAATATTCGAATCTCTGAACTCCGCTCTGGAATATTGTGAAAATGAACTACTAAAGGTCTTATATCAGCGAAAAGACACAATGATAGGGAACGGCGATCACACCCCTCCTCAATTTTTAGGTAGGTTCTTAGAAAAATATCAACGCCATGTATTTTATCAATTAAACTTTCTCTCCTAACATGATAACAACAGACGTATCACGGCCTCAACCCCATATACTCCCAGACGCATTATTCAATTCCCCAAGAGGCCACTACCTCCACCAGGTAGCAACAACAGCCCTTCGCGAAGAAGAAGCCGACCCCGTCTCCAACAAAACCACATTCCAAAAATGGGACTCGTTCCAACAACCCCTCCCCCTTCTCCTCCAAACGTTTCACGGCCTAACGAAACACAACGAGGACTTCTGGTTCCCGGCCTGCACCTACTTCACGCGCGAAGTATTCCCGGCCGACTCAGTCCTCTACCGTACGGGCGAGGACGCCACAAACTTCTACCTCCTTGAATCGGGCATGTTGCGAGCAGAGTACGAGTCGCCGCAGGGCAGTTATTCGGAGCTCATCGTCGCGGGGCGGCCGTGCGGCGAGTTGCCCTTTTTCGGCGAGACACGGCGCACAGCTACGGTAAGAACGGAACGGGATAGTGTTGTGTGGCGCCTTGGGAGCGAGGAGTGGCAGCAGCTGAGGCGGAAGGAACCTATGTTGGCGCAGGAGCTGATGAAGGTATGCTTTAAGTTGACGTCGGAGAGGATGGAGAGTATCACTGGGTGAGTAACTATTGTGTTTGTTTTTTCATCAACGATTTAAATTAAAAAGGGGGTTCGTTCAACTGAGCTAAGTTAACCATTCAACCCCCACCACTACAGATACGTCCTCACGACTGTCTAGGCGACTAGATTATTAGGCATCTTTTTTATCTTATTTATTTTTTTTTTTTTTAAATTTCGCTAGCCCCTTTCACCAGCCCACTGCCACAAGAAAAGAAAATCAGCATGTATCAATTAATATACCGAGGGAGGAGGAGGAAAGCTATATCTCCCGCGACTGTGTTACCACCGTACCTTGTATTTTTATAACTATTATATAACTGCTATCGATATAGCTATATGGCCAGTTTACATATTTTTCAACAACCATTGAAATGTGTTTTGATAGGCAGGGGTGGGGGGAATTTTGTATATATCCTCAAACCAGTCGGCTAAAAGCCATATTATTACCATGGACGCTAATAGAAAAGAAAATCCCAGTATTTACTCTCTTACCAAGTGAAAGAATATGGTGAGTGGGTGGGTTTCGTGATCTCAATAGATAGTAACCTCATTTTATGAAACCTTGGAAGTCTCATTCACCCCAGTAAAGTAATGTGAGTAAATAGTGAGTGAGTCGGTTTTGCTGTTCTCTCGTTTTGCCCCTTCTCCCAGTTTTTTTTTTTTTTTTTTTTTTTTTTTTTTTTTTTCGCCTTTAATCCCGATTCGCTTCCTCACATTCATTAAAAAAAAAGAATCATAATAAATACAATTTGAAAGTACTATACATACAGGTAGAAAAGGGGTAAAACTAGGAAAGGGGATGATATTGAGAAAACAAAGGAGAAGAGAACAAGAAAATAATCCGTCTTGAGCTAATAACGTATGCATGAGATACAAAAAGATTTAAGCAAGTGCTATCAGGCTTGTCTTATGAAGAATTCCGCAGAGACAAAAAAAATGAAAAAGGGATATAAAACCAAAACCCCCAGTGCAAATTAACAGAAGAACCAAGGGCGCCGGCAAGTGCTGAATTATGTTTGTGGGTGGGTGTGTGTTTCATGGTTCAACTTTTATGGTAACATTATCATCCTTATGGGGTCATTCGTGGGGATTGCAGCAATCACACGGGCGGGTAAACGGGTAGCGTATAAAATAAGATCAAAGGCCAGTCGAAAAAAAGACGCAGAAATTTAAATAAACCGCACCGGTAGAAAGTGGCTTGTCTGTTTGCTTGTTCGTTTCCAAAAGCAAAGCAGATCAAATTGAAGAAAAGCGATGTTTCGTAAAAGATCTACTCTTCTTCACTTTCTTCAGAGTCATCATCTTCGCTGCTCTCGGCACCTTCGACGGATTGTACTGTTAAAAAAGGATTCCTAGTTAGTATACTTTGGTGAAAGCAAAACAAGGACTCCTATATCAAAAGGCAACATACTAGGCTGTGATGAATAACTTCCTCTACCTCCGCCGCCACCGCCTTGGAAGCGGGATATAGTACCCTCAATACTATTGATCCGTGCTTCCTGTTCATACTTGCTCATAGGCTTATTCTTCTTGGGCTTCGGCGGAGCCACAACCGCAACAGGTTCTGGTTCGGGTTCATCAATGTCCATAGCTGAAGGGGCATGTTTCTTCACGAATTTTAGCAACACAAGGAGAACGTCGTTGGGCAGTTCATCAATATCAAGCTCGATTTCTGCTTCCTTGGTATCCTATTGAGTATTCTCATGTCAGTCTATGTATGTAGCAAATAAAAAGTTTAAATGTCGAGTAAAGTACGTACCTTTAATCCAGGGACATTCGACTGGATGATCTTGAGCGCCTCGGTCATTCTCTTTTCAGGTAAGCTGCTAATACCGTGCGAAATAATTTGCTTCTCGCGATAGGTAACCCAATGCTGCTTTTCAGGCTTGCTCGATTTCGAGCCACTCTTCTTGTCTTTCTTACCAGACGAGCCAACCGTTGTCCCAGAACCTTTCTTGGTTTCCTTCTTGCCAGATTTGGATTTGCCTGCTTTCTTCGAGCTACTGGGAGGCGTCTTCTTCTTCTTTTGAGTAATTGCCTCGACTTGCTTGGACATCTCCGCAATTTGTTTCTGAAGCTGATGTAGTTTCTCTTGATCATTTTCGTCCTCACTTTCCTCACCCTCTGAATCGCTCGGGTTGTCTGACGTGCCAGCACTTTGGTGACCAGAGGACGGCTCATGGGCTTCGATCCATCGACGCTTCTGGCTCCATTTGTTATCGAAGACCTCCTCCAAGCTTTTTCCGGAGTTGTAGGTCGGATCTCCAGGGATGTTGAACTTGTAGCAATTTTTGAACATTAGACGAACGTCAGCCTCCATCTCCTTTGC